AAAAAAAAAAAAAAAAAAAAAAAAAAGGCAAACTAATGTCTGTCTTTATCAACAGGAACATAGCTCCAAATAATGATGGACTGATAAGAAGCTGGTACCAAGAAGTATCAAAGTTATTTTAACAGCTTCATGCAGTGTTTAGAAACTTGCCAAGCCAGAAATAAAAACTAAGTTAAATTGCTTGCCTCCTACTCTTTCCCCCAATAATATGTAATGCTGTGGTCCAAAAAAGAATTGATTCCACTGTCTTGTATTTCCAGTGAACTTCTGAGCTGCCTCACAAGCTGTGTTAAAGTTTTCCCATTTATAAGCCAATCTTGCCAGAACAGGCTCTGGAACTCAAATGGGTTACTGCCAGAAAGAACTGGGACAGCTGCACTAGTGTTATATTTCAACCATGTACCCAATCTATGAACTGCTTCCACCAAATGTAAGTGATTTTTTCCTAGCACTTGTTTCCGCCTTCACAAAACACTTTTGGATTTGAAATGTTTTATACTTTCTACCCTTTAAAAAAAAAAAAATGAGGCATGTATATGCCTATTTATATCTATATACATTTATAGTAATTTTTTTTTTTCTTTGAGACAGGGTCTCACTCTATCACCCAAGCTGGACTGCAGTGGCACATTTATAGCTTACTGCAGCCTCAACCTCCTGGGCTCAAGTGATCCTCCCACTTTAGACTCCTGAGTAGCTGGGATTACAGATATGCACCACCACAACCAGTTTTTTTTTTTTTTTTTTTATAGAGACAGGGTCTTGCTATGTTGACCAGTCTGGTCTGGAGCTCTTGGCCTCAAGCAATCCTCCTGCCTCAGCCTCCCAAAGTGATGAGATTACAAGCATGAGCCACTGTGCCCCACCTCATAGTACATTTTGATCCTCTTTATTACTAGCCTCCCATGATTGATTTTAAGAATAACAAAGAACCCATTTTCTTGTTCATTGTAATAAATGCCAGAGGATAAAGCCTTTGATGGACAGGTGGCTCTCACAGTAGAAGTCAGGTATCCAGGATCTCCTCTAAACCATGAATGCAAAGACAACTCTAGCTTCTACAGTATTTAGTGATGATTCAAGTAAATTTTATTTTGGAACTTGTATTTAAAAGGAAACAATTCGTTAGACAGCCACAGGCAGCACCTGTAACCAATTTAATCTGTAATAACCAGTCCAATAAGTATGTATGTTAGAGGTGTGGGAAGTGAAGATGAAGGCAGCAGAAATGATCAGGTTGAAAAAAGTGGACATCTGGGTGACTCACTTTGTAAACATAGCTTAAAGTACACATTTCTGAATTATTTAACTTGCTTCTAATGGGCTTTAACTTCCCACCACCAATGATTACTGTAAATACTGTAATGGATCAAGCACGAAGTTTGCTTCAGTTCTGTCTGGGCATGAAAAGACCTCTACCACCAGCTTACCTTTTATGGACTCCTACATCCAAAATAAGAATCAAAAGAGCACTTCCTGTAGGCTTTTGTCATGGTGTTGCAGAATATTCAGGAGACCAGAGAGACCAATGGGTGAAACAGGAGGATTTTATTACGGTGGCGACGGCCTGCTTTCTTTAAGGGTTATAGGTTTTGCAGTTAGGCTCTGTGCACGCAGTTAGGACTTTCCTAACGTGGGTGTTATAGCAATGGGGCAGCCCTGGGAACTGCCTTATAATAGGCACAGACCTCCCGAGAGCATTTTAATACCCCCAGTGAACACTGTAAACGGATGTAAATGAAATGGGTCGTTAGATATTTATGACAACACTCCCATTCTGACATTTCAGCACCTTCGGAAGAACGCTCTTTAACTCACCCACAACCATCGGAGAGGGCCTTGTCCCCAAGAATAGAGAAAGCCATTCCTCTCCGAGTACCTGCAACCTTCAGGCTTCCTACCTGGTCGGGGAGCAAACTCCTTCCCCTGCCGCCCAGATGTCAGAGGAGTATACCTCTCCCAGGTGAGACCACTGAGCCTCCGGGATACCAGGTAGGGGACAGAGAGTGCAAAGGACTGACAGGTCCTCAGACACTGACCAGAGGGTGAAAGAATGTGTCCAGGCTACTTACCAGGAAAGCAGAGAGGATCCCCTGCAGAGCGTCCAGCTTCTCTTCTTCCTCCTCCTCTTGCAGGACACCCAAGATGTAGGCTCCGTAAACGGCTCGGTCCACTCCCAGTGCCTCCAACCGTCCGTCCAGCCAGGAGCCAAAGCTGCCGCCTCCGCCATCGCCTTCGCCTTCGCCAGAGACTACCGCGGTCACTTCCCTGGGCGCCGCCATCTTGGGGTCAGGGTCCTGCCAGCCCCTGGGGTGCCTACCGCAGTGCCTGACGGGCCGCACCGCAGGCCCACCGCGCATGCCTGAAGAGGAAGCCCAGCGGGTAAGTGCGGAGCTCTGAACCCGGGAGGCAGGTACCTGGCGGCTTGAGAGTTTAGTGCTTTCTAGATGAAGCGTGTCTTCGCCTATATGCGGTCTCGGGATCTCACAAGATCCTTGGCATGTGAGATTTCTTTCTTTTTTTTTTTTTTTCAAGAACAATGGTATTTAATTGTAAAATCTCCACTCCCTGAGGGTATGTTTTCGGGTCTGGGTGACTAATTAGACTGGGAAACGGGGGAGGGCAAGATGGCCCTGTGCCTCCCCTGCCCGCTGCCTCTGGTGGATGTGCTTCCCCTGCCTGCTGCCTCTGGTGGATGTCCTTCCCCTGTCTGCTGTGCTTCCCCGGCCCGCTGCCTCTGGTGGATGTGCTTCCTCTGCCCGCTGCCTCTGGTGGATGTGCTTCCCCTTCCCGCTGTGCTTCCTCTGCCCGCTGCCTCTGGTGGATGTGCTTCCTCTGCCCGCTGCCTCTGGTGGATGTGCTTCCCCTGCC